GGTTGTTACGTGGTTGTAAATACGTCAAAATTAACAGAATCGTACACTTAAAATGTGTGCGTATTTATTGCATATAAGTAATGCCTCAATGAAGCCGATTTTTAAAAAAGAGATGAGTCTGATTAAGTAAAAAAAAAAATGAAAAAATGACCTTATTTACAAATGAACACAACTACAGTATTTGATAATGACAAAATAGCTGACAATGAAAACAAAGACTTAATATAAAAATTAATTAATATCAAAAAGTATGGAGATATTTCATAATGAAAAAGGCCAAAAGTCCAAAATATAGTGACTTATGATCCATGTTACCATTTATTTATTAATTATATAATTATATAAACATTTGGTTGAACAGTAATTATGTTGGATATTAGAGATACAATACAAAACAAAACACAGTGCTGGCCTTCAAGAAACTTGCAGTCTAAATGGAAGAGAGAAAAAAATCATACACAATTTAAATAGAGGATGAAATTACCATAATATGGGTCACTGAATACTCTGAACGATACCTCACTTAGGCTTAGAGTTATGCAGAAGGCAGGAGTCACAAAAAGCTTTCCAGAAGAGACTGTAATTTAGCTAGGAGGTGAATGATTTTACTTTTCCCATAAATATTCACTGAGCAGCTGTAATGTGCCAGGGACTGGGCCAGGTACTACTTATACTTAAATTAAAAAACAGAAATAGCTGTTACTTTCATAGAGTCTATTATACTCAGAGGGAGACTAACAATAAACAAGTAAATTAGCATATATATATACACACTTATGAAGTAAATTCTGATTGGTGCTAAGATGAAGACAAAAGAAATACTGACTGTACATAGGATGGTCTGAGAAAAGGATAATTAAGCTGAGCTCTGAATGATAAAAAGCAGCCAACAATCAGAGTCATCAAATTTGAAAGAGGAGCATTCTAGGGAAAGAAAATGCATGTACAATACACAGAAATACGATGGCACATTTGAGCAACTTTAAATAGTTCAGCATGAATTGAGAATAGATATAAAATCTAAATGGTAAGAAATGAGGTTCAAGCAGTAAGAGAGACCTAATGGTGAAGACCTCCGTGCCATGGTAGAAAGAGCTGGTTTGCTTGGGGGTTTTTTGTTTTTTGTTTATCTTAATAATTGACTCATACTCAAAATACACATCTATAAAACCATCACAAGTATAAAAAGGAAAAGCTCATGAACTAAAAAGGCAAAAGCAATAATATTATGTCACATATTCAGAAGGGATAAACTCAAGATGGAGAAGAAAAGCAGGATTAGAGAAAAGAAATTATACGAAAGTGACAGAAAAAGGAATACTTCACTATAAAGAATCAGAAAAAAATTCAAACACAAAAGTGACAAAGAATCATAAGAATGGTGCTGATTCTTACTGTAAATATCATAATTTAAAATGAATAACTCAAGGGAAAGAAAAAACACATGAGTCAAAAATGATCAAACCTTACACCATTACTTTCATGTGAAGGAAGTATTTCCCAAAATAGGAATAATCTTTATTTTGATTAAAATCACCTTTATTTTTTAAAGAAAAAATCAGACTTACACAGTACCTACCAGGTTCCACCAGGTTTAACTTCTGCTGCTAATTAATTACTCAAACAAGATGCCAGACCAGACTACATGGTGCTTCTAGTTTTTCTATATACTGTATGCATTTCTGATAAATGGGAAAAGAATAGATGACCTGGCAGAAGGCTCAGACAATAATATGTGATTTACAGGACATGAATGCAGCTACCACAAGATTTATCTGACAGCCCTCTCCGATAGTGGACTGTTGAGTATCCGATGGAATGATTTCTAGTCTAGAAAGTCTACTACTGAGTAGCCATACACATTATTTATTTATTAGATGTTTTGGGTTGAAACCATTTTTAAATGATGCACTTCACAATGCACAGTCATAAATTTAGCTTTAAACCCAAGAAGGGAGGTAGTGTTATTGGAATGTATGTCAGACTGAATTAGGATGAGCAACTCAACGCTTTTATAAGGTGGCCTTGAATGCAATGTCAATTCTTTCAAAAATGTTATTAATGTGAAATGAGCAAGACACAAACACATTATACAACACTAGGGTACTATTACTTGAAACATTTGTTTAACATTTTCTACAAATTCTTATAGATTTCTACCAGGTTTATACACATACACCACAATCGCGGAGCACAAATAAGCTGCATGCTTGTGAAAAACTAAATCTGAAATATAGCTGAGAACTTGTTTAATTTTCTCGTGTGCATCACAGAACACACAGTTTCCTGAAGAATGTGTAATCTTAATTTAAGTGAAGAGGATTTAAATCAGTCTTTTGAGCTTAGATAGTTCTTGAAGTATTTTATAAGGGATTCAACATATGCCTAAATCTAATTTAATAAACCTTAAATATATATTAATTTTACTCAAAAATATAATGCTATTATAAGAGAGCTTTTCAGCTCCCAAAGAATACCACTTTGCCTAAACGATATTAAAATTTAAGTAGGATAAAATATAAAATAATGCCTAATCAACTATTAACTGAATAAGTGGACACTGAAAAACACAAACCTAGTTGAAGCTTTAAAGAAATATATAGTGATCTGTTTGGTCTTATAGGCAGCAAACAAAATGTGATTAATTCCTCATTTCTTAAATTTAGGATCTAAAGTCTCTTTTGTAATAGAAATGTGGTTAAACACTTCATTAAAAAGAATGCAAAATGAAAATAAGTTTTGAGTGGATTCCAGAAAAATAATCAGAACATGGCTGATTGTCATGAAATTAACACCAACTAATTTGTAAAGTTTTAACTCAAATTTGCAGATGTTAAGTTCATAAGCATATCCCATTACTTATGTGATTAAAAACGAGTTTTTGACCTGATCTTTCGATCTTTGGCACTCAACCCTCTCCATCTCCTCTTAAAAAATTAATTAAAATTTTAGCAAGATGGTGACTTTTTACTTCCCACCCTATCTCAGACTAAAAAAAATTATCAATCAAACTCACGCCAACCCCACCCAGTATCTGCAAAATGTCGACTTGAAATTCAATTACATATCTCTCAAGCTTTCATGTAGAAAAAGACAGTTCACTTCTTAACAAAATAAATCACTTTTGTGATTGCCAAGTTGACCTCTTTGAATTAGGAAAATTCAAAGTGAAAAATGTAATTATCACCCCAGAACAATCTGTATACATCTGGAGCTAATTCTGGCTTCATTTTTCACATCATTTTTCACACTGTGCTACATCTTGTAGAGATGCCAAGGAACTTTTGAAGAACTCATAAGAAATGTTAAGGACTCCAAATACCCAATAATGTATTTTATTCAAACAAAAATCTTGAGAATATCTGACTTTTCAAACTTACTGTACTACGTGATCTTCATGTCCCATTTGACTGGATTAGTATTAAATGATACTGTGGCATACACGACAAAAACATATATTAAAACATGTCATGCTTTATCTTTGCAGCTTCTAACATTCAAATATATAATATAGTACATCTGAAATAGCTTTCAAGTACCAAAAATATACTCAATTCTTCTAAACCAGAAAGTGAAACTTCATCAAAATTCAATTCTTCTAAACCAGAAAGTGAAACTTCATCAAAATTCACCTATGAAACAATTAGATCACTATAAACAATAAATTCATATTCTTGTGAACAAATATCGAAAACCATATATGAATGCTTCTTAAAATTAAGGTTAATATCATGTAGTTATAAGAATGTTACATGTCAACTTTCATCCAAGAAATAATTATTTCGAATCAGATGGCTTAATGAGAAATCTTACTAGTCAGTTTTTGAAGAAATGGAGTTTTCTAAAGCAGAGGATTAAATTATAAAAACATGATTCTCACTAAATCTAGGAATAATAAGCCTACTAAGAAACGTAACTACTCCTCACAAGTTCATCATAAAAATCCATTAGGTATAATCTCTAGAAGTAATTGTTCTTATTGCACTTTACTGACAATGTATATATTGATTTTTCACACCTTCTATGATTCTTTAATTTGTATTCATGAAACGTCCATCAGCACAGTCTAAATAAATTTGGCAATATAGGCACTAAAACGAATAAATCGATGCAAAGAAACATTAATTTTGCATTATCCTTATTCGTTAGGCAAGTAAACCGTAAGAGTTGTAAATGAAGGTCAAAGGTTCTGAAATGGGTCAAAACCCTTGACCTCTAGACCAATACCCTTCCTATTAAAAAAGGCTATTTTAAAGTTTTAAGTAGGAGAATTTACTACCAGCAAGATATCACTTTTAAAAGACTACAAAGAAAGCTCTCAATAAAAACATTCATCTGTTTAATTGCAAAACAGAAAACAAAATATTGCAGGATCCATGTTTTTATATGTTTCTAAAAAATCATTTAAGTTTATCACATGAAGTACAAGGTTTCCGAACACTGAAAGTAATTTTGCTCTTAGGAATTTGTTTTCTACATCTTCTTATGATGCCTGCCGCATTTTTGTTTATGTTTTCCCAAGTCTACTGTGTATGTCAAAAATAATTAGCAATGACAAGAATTCAAAATTATTTATCACTCATTTTATAACCTCTGCACAAAAGGGAAGTAAACCCATGATTCCCAAGGGAGAAAGAGTGGCATCCACAAGGTATAGAAATAAATCTGTTTCTATAACCTTAATATAGACAGCAAAGAAACTTAGTCATCTCAAGATCATCTGATCTGGACTTTTTTAACGTAACTCTAAAAACCTTTGTTTCTCATTTATCTACCTGCTTTCTCTCAGCACCTGCTTCAAAATCATTTGCTAGTATCAAAGACAAATCTTTTGGTAGTATCAAAGTAATCCTATTGTCATACAAATAAAATTATTTTAAAACTGCAAACTCAAAACTTAACTATAGCAAAAGTTTCTGACAATGCAAATGTAACTTCCTTGTCAAGTGAAATTCATGTGAGAATTTACTTTTAATTCAGCATTTCTTCTTGTCACTCACCTGAGAACACAGTAGCATAACCAATTCCACAACTGAGCTACTAGACTTCATGCAAACCAGACCTATTTTAAAGAGAATTAAAAAAGAATTACAAAGTAAAAAAACAAACATCAGGGATTTATGTGTTATACAACTTTGTCCAAATTGGTTTTTAAAATAAAACTTCGACATCTTGCTAAGAACTAAAGCTGTACACATTTGATCATATGATTAAACGAGGTACTCTACACTTACTTTAAACGTGGCATCAAAACTAACATTTTTTGTAAATTATTTAATTTCAGCTTTCAAAATACTAAAACATTTATTTTAACTTCATATATATGTCATTTCACAATACTCACAGAAATGTGCACAACATATGCCATATTGATCAATATCATCTACATTTTGTTTTGGAGAGAGTTGATCGTTACACATGCAGAGAAGGGAAATGGCTCCCTGACCTTTGCTTTCTCCACCGCACTCCCTGCCTTCAACCCTCTAGCTATCAATCAAGTTTCCATTTTGTTTCATGGCAGCAGACATCCCAAACACTCTTATTAGTACTTTGACCTCTGACCTCACTCTAAACCTGAACAGAATTGTAAGCCCTTGTCTGTTATATATTCTTAATTTCTTATAAATTAATCCATTTATATGTTCTCTTCTATGTTCCATTTTGGTTCACCAAAAATATCCTTAGGAAGGAACTTTTGTATAGTTAACAGCCATCTAAAGAATTCTTTAGTTTTAATACCAATGAAATCTAAAATAGTTCGTTCAAAGAACATTTTATAACCACTATCTAAACAAAGCAATGCCAATAATTAAAAAGGCTAATTATTAAATTACACTTCTAATAATCAGAAATGATACAATTTTTTTATTCTATATTCTTCTAGGCCAACACAAGCTTAAGTTCAAAGGTATAACATCTAAAATAATTCCTGGTAGCCCTTAAACAACCTACAATATTAGCCTCTTTTTCTCACCAGTTAAGCTCTTCCAAGTATCCAACCCATTCCCTTTCTTTTATCTTCATGCTCTTTAGTTCCTTCTTCTCCTTTCTTTTTTCAATAATGCCTCAAACCAAATGATGGCATATGTTGGCATTTTGTAGCTTTACAAACAGCATTCAAGTTAAATAGGTTGTTCACCTCCTTTACTTTTTAAAAAAGAACCATTTTTCTCAATGTCCGAAAAAATATATAACATGGAAATGATGGTAAGTGTCAGCACTGGCAAGAAAATGAGCTATAGATGTCTATATGCTGCATTAGGTGAGCAGGCCATTAACTAGACCAAAGTGTATTTTCTGTAGGGCTAATATGAATATAGCTCATCAGGCTAATGCTGCCAAAGCTGAAAGGAAAAGCAGAGCAATACCCCATCTGTCATTACTGGTGTAGCCCTCTGCTGGTCTGAAATGCCACTTTTCATAAAATGTAATTCAGATAAAAGAAGTTCAGTTTTATTCCAACTTCAAAACCCATTACTTCCAGCAAGCCAATTCAGACCTTTCAACAATTAGGTCATTAATTCTTATCGCTCTATTCTAAAGGAACCAGAATTCCACCATTGGCCCCTAATCTGAGCCCTTTCATATCTGCTCAGATAATGAATGAAATTGATAAAAAGGACTTTGGCCCATCCAAAATTAGAGAGATTTATAGGTGCTCTTTTGTCCCTTTTACAACACATATCACAGGATATTTCAATATCTACATAATTAAGAAAAAAAACTACATATAAACATTTATACTTATTCATTTCAGTCTTATTTCCCAATAATAAAGGTTAGTAAATTATAGAAAGGTTGACAGCTGCTACCTACTAAGGAGTCAGCAAAAACATGTCCACTGACCGTGAGTTCAATGTGCAGAATATCCATGCTAGTGAAAAGTCACATAACATTTCACAGTTTGATTTGAACAATTAATGTTTCGGGGGGGGTGATTGTAGATTTATTGGGGAAGGCAAGGAGAACAGTATATTCAATTTTAAGTGAGAAAGGGTTTCAGAGGATAAAAGAGACCTGATAATAGACCTCTAACACTAAGCTCCCTGTCTAAAGGAAATAAATATTGTAAATACAAATGTATAACTTTGGGAATACAGAAATAGGAGATAACCCCAAAAAAGGACTTGGCTTCAGATTGTGCAACTTAAATCACATCTATTTTTGACCTAAATTTTTGCTTTTGGGTGACACTGGGTACATGTATGAAAAAGCAAGAAATTAATAATAAACTAGTAAATCTGCCTTTAATTTACAGTCAGACTCTAAGAACTACTCAAAGGTGGACCCTAAAACAACACTTAGGGTCAGGTTGTAAGTTGCTGTCAGAAGTATCAATTTTCATTTTACAAATACACATACACATACACGCACACAATTATTGCCTCAATGAAAAGAAAGAGGATATTATGAGTTCATTCAGGTCGCTGAGCCCACAGAGTCATAACACAACTTCTCTAAAGTCTCTCAGAATAATAGCTGGGTTCTGTTTGCTTGGTTTTATTTTTTGGTTGGTTTTTCAAAGATAGGGAATTTTAGTCTTTTCAAAAGGTCAAATTCAGGACGACAAGCCGAGAGTTTTACACTCTTTGGGAATTTCATGACCAAATACCACTACAATTTCTTCAGTAGAGACTCTCCCAGATATAGGAATTCAGTTATAAGATTAAATGACTTACCAGATATTAAGCTACTGCCATCTAAGCCCATTGATCTGTCTAAACCCTCAAGTATACCAAGAAAACTAGTCATGACCATTTATCATCTGGAATATAAAAACCCTTTTGCCTCTTATATTTTAAGTTATCAAATAATTGAAAGATAAATGACTGGTAATACATATTATTAGAAATTTTAATAAGAATTTAAGCATAATAAAATCAAATTCTTATCCCATATCTTCTTGGTTTTGAAGGTATATGTACAAGGCTACTTCAAAAAGTTCACAAAAAAACAGAATGAAAAGATTATATCAATCTTTCCATGAACTTTTGCAAGTATCCTCATATATACCCCCGAATGAGCAATATCCTTTGGATGCAACTAAATGCTCATCACAAATCTGGGATATATCCATCTTGTAAATACTAATTCTATATTTCAAATACATTTTTAATAGATTCTAACTCATCATTAATTCTGATTTTTCTTCTTGAACTTATATCAACAAATGTAACACTTTGGAAAAGTTTGATAACTCAAAATTTTGTTGAAGAGAGGACAATTTCTTTGCTCCAGACTTGCAAACTATTTTCTTTTTTAGATTTATAAACACCATTTAGAATGATCAATCCACTAAATTTTTTCATTTCTTTATGAACTTTACCTTCCAGTCATCACTGTATATACACCTGCCTTTAGCATTTATCCACTTAGAAACCGTATCAAGTAAACTGTAGTACATAATCATCACAAAAGATGGAAAAACACTGTCACATATCTTTTTAGAACACTGGGATGGTCCAGGTTCTTGCCAAAAACTACCTCATAAATTCGGCACAATGAAGTCCTTCCTGTTGAATGACATGCTGATATACATTATAGACAGTATGTACTGTGTGGCACTTTGAGGGTTCACAAACCATTGTAATATCTAAGGTATTTTTGCCTACCCAAATACAAGTTTTTGTTCCCACTGAGAATGCAAGTTTGTACTTTCGTAAAATATGATGGGTAAAACAGTAACAAAATTAAGGGTAAAATATGGTATTTTTGCCTACCCAAATACAAGTTTTTGTTCCCACTGAGAATGCAAGTTTGTACTTTCTTAAAATATGATGGGTAAAACAGTAACAAAATTAAGGGTAAAATACAAGAGTAATGACTTCTTTTGCTATTCCACCATCATTCTAGCAGCAATTCCAGCATTCTTGTTTTCTTATTATTTTAGTTCTTAGCATAGTTGAGAATAACTGGTAAGTAATGATGAAATAACAAAATGTTTCAAGATACAGGAAAAATAAGATCACTAAGACCCCATAATGAATCTTAGATTCATAAAAAGGATCCATAAACTCACATATGGTAATTGTAAGATAGAATAAAAAAATTTTAAGCTAATGGTCTCTTTGTCCTTTGAAAGATCTCTTTAAGAATATAAAATATCAATCCTTACAAAGGGTTATAGCTACTTAAAAAGAGGGTTAATATCACTCAAACTGAGGCAATCAGACAATATCTAACTCCAGGCATGATGTAATATGATGTATTACAGCTAATACAACTTTTATATTTAACTTTGAGTCTTTAGGAAAAAAATGGGGTAGAGATGACATCACAAAGAAGCAATATCCACAGGGTCCCAAAATACATAACATTCTACAGAATAACCAACCAGATTTCTTCAAAAAAACAATAGCACAGAAACAGAGTGAGAATGAGAGAAACTATCTGAAATTAATATGTACTTAAAAGCAACTTAAGAGATATAACCAAATGTGATAAGTGAATTTTGTTTGGATCTTAACTGAAAGAAACTCAATTGCAAAAAAAAAACATTTTTTAGATAAAGATAAATATGGGCTGGGTATCAATTTATATTAAGGAACTATTATTAATATTGTCAGATGTTAACAATGGCATTGTGATTATGAACAAAAATGTCTTTTTTTCTACATGCATTATTAAGTAGTCAGAGATTAAATGACATGATGCCTAGGACTGTTTTAAACACTAAGCAAAACAAAGGGAAATGGAGACACCAAATCATTACGAAAAATGAAGATGTTTGGGTAGTTGGTAATAAGTTCATGAATATTGTACTTCCTACTTTTGTCACTATTTGACATTTCCATTAAAAATTTTTTGAATATGTAAAAAAAAATGTTTTTAATTAATTAACTTTCAATACCTGGTCACACAACAAGTCACTGGCAAAAATCGAATTAAAACCAAAGTCTCCTGCCTTTTAGTTCAATGTTTATTGTACAGTACTATGCTGCTTTTACAATGCTATACTGCAATCATCTCCTCTCAAAACCTTTTTGTTTTACAATGCATAAAAACACAATCCAAAGCACGGCTTGTAACTTGAAATATGTTTATAAGTTAAATAAGAACTCTTAGATTTGTCTGCTATCTTTACAAACACAGTCCAGTAACTAGGCACTGCTCAAGTTTATAAATAAAAAAGTTTATAAATAAGCAACAGTACATCTTCTTCCTTGTTACTAATTTTATCAGAATTTACCAGTAAGAAATTGATTTTAAATTAAATTTTGTTCAGGGATCCAGAATTGTCAATTTCTAATACTTCTAAGTATCCTATTTTGTTGGATCTAGTATAAAATTCAAAGACCAACTAATAAGCAACAATGTCTTGCTACACTGAAAGGCTATAATTAATACACACATTCTATTCACTTTTTTATGGTAATGAAACAAATATAGTTCATAAGTCATCACCCTGCTTTAAAAAAATAAATACTCAATACATGAATTATAACTTAGAGAAAAGCCTAGTAGTATAGACTCTTTGATTTTTTAATTCAATTATTTTCAAATTTTATTACTTCATTAATAAAATTTCTTCATGACTTAATCAAATAGTCCATAGCTAAATAATTTATATCCGTCAAACAGATCAAAGTAAATTGTCACCCTGAACTTAATTAAATATTTCTAAAACCTGAACTTTCTCAAATAAATTAATTGCTCTTTTTTGACTCTATGGAAATAAGATTGTGTATCACCAACTCCATATACATGATATCAAAGATGAAATTCCTAGCTAAAGCTTAACACTTAGACAAATATTTTAAAGGGCAAATGATGTGCTGATACCCCATAGTTACATTCAGATACAGATACCTTAAACTATTAACCTACCTATACCTTGCATTTCCATTACATCCTTATTTCTGCAAAACAGGGGCTTTTTCAGAAGTTTAAGAAATTCCATAGGAGATCCTCTAGTTACTGTTACACAACAAAAAAATTATAATAACTAAAGTGGTAGGTTGATATTTTAACACACTAGAGTAGAGACGGGAGTGCTTTTCCATGATTTTTCAGTTTTGAGGAAAATATAAGTGTCTTATCCTAAACCATCAACCATGGACAAAGACAAGCCAGATTTTGCAATCAACTAGTCCAAACACTTTTGAATGCAAAATTTAATTCGATTTCATCACTGATTAAAGTTCTCTAGCTTCTCCTTTAAAAAATTCTACTTAGGGCCGGCCTGGTGGTGCACTGGAGAGTGTGCTGCTTGGGAGTGCGGCGGCGCTTCCGCTGAGGGTTCGGATCCCATGTGGAGACCGGTTCCCGCTCACTGGCTGAGCGTGGTGCGGGCGCAACACCGAGGGTTGCGATCCCGTTGCCGGTCAGTAAAAAAGACAAAAAGGAAAAAAAAAATTCTACTTAAAAGGATAAAGTTTAGTATTTTGAAGTCATTATGTTAAATTCTTAAATAGAATTAAATATCTGGAAAATTGCCCTCTATTGAACTGATCTGCTGCCTGAGGAAATTCAGGGTTAGTCTACTATCACTTGGTGGAGTCACCTTCTCTAATATTTGAAGACACCTGCTATGTGGCAAATGCCCCATACAAAAAAAAATGTCCCATTTTTCCTCATCCAATCCATAAACAGCATGGTTTCCAGTCCCCTCAGCAACGTATTTCTGTATGCTATCTAGTTTGACACAATCTCAAAGTACATACCTAGAAGAGACCCAGTAAACTATGTATGATGTAAGCAGGATAGAGTACTATATTACTGTTATCTCTACTTAGCTGTAAAACAGAATTTCACTAATACAGACTAAAAACGCATTCCTCATTTTCCTAATATGCGGCAATACACTGTTGTTTACATGGACCTTAAGCTCAAGTAAAACCCTGTGACATTAGTGTTTCCTACTGTCTACTCTCATAGTTAACTTTAATTACTTCTTTGGCTCAACTCATACTTTCTGATTCATCCAAATCACTTATAAAAATCTCAAAAACTTTAGAACAGAGAGGTGTCAAGTAAAACCCTGTGACATTAGTGTTTCCTACTGTCTACTCTCATAGTTAACTTTAATTAGTTCTTTGGCTCAACTCATACTTTCTGATTCATCCAAATCACTTATAAAAATCTCAAAAACTTTAGAACAGAGAGGTAAAATATTCTTGAAAAGATATAAACACTATGAGAAGCTTTGTCAAAGATTGAAAACACTTAAAACAACAAAATTCCATGCATCTCTTATTATCCATTTGAGTTTTTAACTTTGAAATGTAAATATATATAAGTGAAATAAAGAAAAATCACTTACTTGTTCCCTCTATAAGCAATTCTTGTCCATGGCTACCCAAAAGTGTCCGAGAAAGAAATGGTGCAAAATCCACAAAAATCTCTCGCAGGAGAGGAGCTGCCTTTTCCAAAGCATGTTCAAGCCTCTCTGTAATACTAATGGAAAGATGTTAAGTTACCTGAACTATTCAACAGAATTTAACAATTTTCTACTTTTTTAAATGAATTATGTATTTCTATAGAAATGTAAAATTATGTGAAAAATTGAAAATTACTTAAAGAGGCATTATTGCTATGCACATCAGTCCTCCTGCCTTGAATATCCTTTTTTAACCTGATCTTTCTTGCAACTTCCGGCCCTAACAAACAATCTGATTAACAACTAACACAAGCACCGGTTCTTACTGGAAGTCTTAACTGGTCAGTTAAAAACACTTTCTTTCTAGCCCCATTAAAATCTAACAAACTCTATCAAGTCCTCATCAAATTTGTCTATTCACCACTGAGCCATCAGTATCTTGAGTTCAAGAGCTATGCCTTCATTTCTAAGTACTCAGCTACAGCATACAGTACAGATTCAATAAATGTTTATAAACTGAAAGAAGCAGTTTATATTCTTTTTTAAATGAACTCTATGACAATTTCTTTCTAAAGCAATCTGAACAATTTTTCATTTAAAAATAATATACTTTAAAGGCACATTTAGAATTATCTCAATTTACATATATATGTCATTGTGGCTGTATGTACACATATTCATACATTCACTATACATTTAATGAGTTTTTTAAAAATTAGCCCCTGTATTTCAGGAAATTCACAGATATCCACAGCTTTAGTTTCTGATTTATAAACCAAATATAGCACAAACAGCCACTACTATTTAATGTTCACACTAGGAGTACTTCCAATTTATACCACCAAGAAAGCACTTGCTACTGAAACTATCGACACAAATTTATGGAAGTTTCTGCTGTCAATAACTATGTATCTCATAGAACTTCTTATCTCTGAAAATATCACCCAATTGTCTACATTTGTGTAGTGCTATGGATTTTCCAATTGTGGTAAGGAAAATCAAGAACTACATGGCCACTACGGCTCTAGTGATGGAAAATGCATTCACGACATTCCAAATTAGAATTTGAAATTCATATTCCCAAAGTAAGGTAAGCAACAATAAAATTCTATCTAAAATTCAGTATAATTGTGGCTTTGTCAGGTTGTCACTTATTATTTCAGCATTTTTATAGAAGAAGAACAAATTCCAAACTTTCAATTTACAATCATTTGAAACACAAGCCATGAGTTTACATAAACAAAATATTTGCTTATACATTAGCACATTTATCACAAATAGCCACTTCTCAGGAATATTTTATATCTCATAATCTTTTACAATAAAATGAACTTCTAAAATATCCCCAAGCCTCCAAATGTCATGTATGTTAAGAAGGAAGAAAAATGAAAGAAAGAAAAGAAATGTAACTAGATACTTTAAAGAGTCACAACACAGAAGTTAGTAGCTTAAATACCTCATATTTGAAACTGGGTCTTGTGGAACTGAACCAACTGTTGGAACTGAGGGCAATTTTGCATTAGATGATCTACTGCCTATAAAAGAAAAATAACCATTTTCAGATATTTTCAGTTTTTAGATAAAAGGACTCAAACAAAAAGGATGTCTTTAGAACAGTCAACAAAAACACATCATAATGCATTTTTTAAATATCCATTACTATTTGGACCACATTAAAATCTAACAATTAACAAAGTTTTTCTTGGCTCTTTTCATATATAAATCTCAATTACAAGCTCAATTATCATGACAAGCAATCCTTCTATCCATGGGCTGAAGAGGTACAGAAAAGTAAATTCTGACTTACTAAATTGGGTTCACAACTCCTTCTACTCAACACCACGGGTCAGTAGAAATTTACATGTAGAAGCATATTTTGTAATGAGGCAAAAAAACCAGAAACAGCTCATTCCAACTATTCATAAATTTAAATATTTATACCTCCATTACCATGAAAACTGTCCTCATGAAGTCATCAAATAACTTCTGCTATACTCTGACTGCTCATGAGTCCAGTCTGGCAAACATAACCCAATGACCAGCTGAGAAACCTTTCCTAAATGATTCAAGCAGAATTCATACTCTCCCATTTGTGCCCTCACTGTAATTACAGTATACAACCTGTTGTTGCCTTTGTCGCATTGTATTTCAACTGATTTTTTTAAAGCCCTTCTGACTACAATACTGAACTTTTTGAAAGCGAAGCCCTCATCTTTTTCATCCCTTTTCCTCTAGAGCCCAGTGAATCAGACATAATAGATCTCCAATCAATGTTAATTGCAGAAGCTTCCCTTAATCGTTCCCAACTCCTATACTGAAATAGGTCAATCTTCCTACCTGTATATACTTCTCTATTTCCTACTACTTTATGTCACTATCTTAGTTCAAACTACTGTGTAAAATTAATTTCCACCATGTACTCTTATTTCACTCTTTCCATTCAGTGCTCCCAGATACCCTTAAATACACTCGTGTCTCCATGTTGTTAAATGACCGATTATGTTCAAACTACTTTCACAGAGATCTGATGCTTTTGATCTGTTCTCCAAACTTCAGGCAGGGGTATGCTGGGTGCACCTATAGCACACAAAGTGGTGTGGACAGAAAAAGAAAAGGAGAGATAAAAGAAGAAATGCTCATCTGGGATGTAGAAAGAAAGATGGTGGAAACAGATGAGAAGGAAAAAAGCAGCCCTGTGATATCCAGGAGATGGCCTGGTACTACCAACTAGGCTTTGGTGTTAATAGTAGCTGACCTGGAACCCACACCAGGTCTTGGTATTTTTCTCGTAGAATATAAACAATTTCATAAAATGTCAATGTCAGACAAAGCCATGGACAATCAACATAAAACCAGTATCACTCTATAATCACATCCTAACAGAGACAAAAACATGAACACCGTCCAAGCAACAAAAATAATCAAACATCCCAAATCCTAATATGAGTGACTGCTGCTGCTTCACAAATTATAGTGTTAGAACCTAATATTCTAGTAAGTAGAATTACTAAATTTTATAAATTAGCAAACATCCAGCATTGCTGCTGCTTCACAAATTATAGTGTTAGCCTTAGTCAAGTCTTCCCTGATCTAAATAAAATATATCATAAAATTACTCCTACTTACTGAAAGAATCCTATCCAGAAGCTCCACTTCCTTTACTCCTCACCAAAACCACCCAACACAAGTTCAAATCCTATAATAAATCCTTTCTAACACTCTTACTGAGATGTCCAAAGTCTCCCCATTGTGTGCATTCTCTCTCACTGCAAAGAGTAATAAGTCAACTTATTCAACCAAAGGTGTAGTCCTGGTAGTGTTTGGTTAGAGGCACTGACAGAGACTTTAGACAAAGTCAAATAGAGAAAGAACTGACCAAGAAAAGTAGCAATCTTAGATGTATTTTAAAAGAATCAGAATTAAGGAAATCTCTAAGAATGCTTTTCCATAACAACCTATTTCATCATAGTAAGACACACATTATTTCACATGGCAGCATCTCTCAAATCAGAGTACGTTTTACAATCAAAGTCATCCTACAATTGTAGTTGGCTGGCAGCTGAAGCCTAATTATGAGAAAACACAGTCAGATAAAATCAAGAAAGCAATCAAATCAAATCTAAGATTTGGTAAAAGACTAATTAAGAAAGAATTGTGTAACTATTTGAAATCTTTATTTTGCCACTCGACTTCCTCAAGATTATGTAAACTAGAGGAAAAACAGTTGTATAACCTAAACATATTGTCAGAGTACCATGTTGTAGATGATTTGCTTGTGGTAAAGATGAATATCTAACAATTAGGGGTCCTACTATAGCTTGGTTCCACAGCCATAAACCATAGGAAACCACCTCCATCACCTCCCTCATTACTAACGAATACAGATTGTGGCAGTAACTGTAATTGCTTTAAAAGCCTAGAGCTCTAAGAATCTAAGTCTTGTCACAAATATAACCAGTTATTTTCCCATTATAACCAAAATACAAAAATACTGTTATTGTATTGCTTTAAAGAGAATAAGAACTCTCTCTCCCAAGCTGCCTTGAACTATTCAGTCCTAAAGCAATGAGCTGGAAAAGATCAAGGGAAGCATATGCATCAGGGTGTAGGCTGCATTGGCCCAGAGCAAGTTATTGGAACCCAAACAGTGTGAGGACAGCATTTCGGTAGAAGATAAAACTGCAAAGAACTGAGGTAACGGCTAGAAATTAAGGGTATCTATGTGAATTCATGGTTCCAATAAACAGAGACAGAAATAAACATATGTGAATGAGGGTATATATTTTTATATACTTTTATATAAACCTGTGTGTATGTAGTTCCTAGCTCTGTCCCCTGAGAGGACCTGGAAGCAACAACATCTTTAACACCTAATGTCCAGATCTTGGTTTCTAAATTCCATTCTCCACTAAAAGAAATGGCTAATTTGACATCTGTGGAATATAAACAACATATTGAAATGAGCTTGAAACCTATAGATGTACTTTCTGGAAAGCAAGGAAATGCCCAAGGAATGATGGAATATGTCACAAGGCGACAGAAGCCAGTTTGAAGAGGCTTCCACTGACCTAATTGAGGACAATATGAGCATCAAAATAAACAATGATAGTAACTGATTATCCATTGAATAAAATAGGAAACCATTACAGCCCAGCCTTATAACACCAAGGTCACAGGTTCAGATCCCTGTACTGGCCAACCTCCAAAAAAAAGGAAAAAGAAACTGATGCTAAAATAGGAAATCATAAGGCCATGTTAACATGAATAAATTGACAATCTGAGGAACAGGATATTTAAATTATTTTGAAGTACCTCCCCATAAAATATTTATGAATTAAAAAACGGAAAAGAGTAACTTTTTAAAATATAAAAAGCTGGCAGTTACCACTTTAATCAAGTGATCAAAATTATTGTCATTATTGAGGCAAATCAAAATTGCGTACCATGGGACTGAATTAGTTTCTTCTCAGTCCGTTCTGTAATATTCCTACCAAAGAAGCATACTCTGTTTCTAATCATGAGGAAATATCAGACCAACACAATTCAGAGACATTCATTTGGGTTCTTTCCAATTTTTGACCACTGACAAATATTCTTTGCTTGACCAAACTTTACTCAGGCTCCTGAACCTTTTCCTAGGCCCATCTCTGCACTTCCTTATAAAATCCAGCTTTAGCAAGAACCCTAAGTCAGTTTACCAAGAATTTCCCCCACCCTTATAAATGATCACCCTCGACATCTAACTTTATCCTTCACCATCTCCCAGGTGATATATGATCACCCTAGCCTGTCTTCAGCGAGAATCCTGTTGGGTCAGCTTAATCAGAATCCCCCTTATCCCTATGTTTCCTTTCAGTAATTTTCCTTCCACCAACCCCCACCCTACTCCTTGGCTATAAATTCCCACTTGCCCATGCTGTATTCAGAATTGAGCACAGTTCCATACTGAGGCCTCTTTTCCTCTTGCAACCAACAGCCACAGATTTAAGTTGATTTCATACTTTAAGATTAGAAATATTTATTTTGCTCAGTTTAATAGTTAGCCTATAGTGGCAGCTAAGCATGTAGACTCTAGATAATAGAGGGAACCTGTTATAGGGAAAAGATTATGGAAAGATGCTTAAAGATGTTCTGTTTAGAACTGGTTACTAGAAGTGGGAAAGGGGGAGCAAGGGAGGTCAGCAAGAAATTGGTTAATGGACACAAAGAATGACTCCATATTGTAATGATAAATAAGTTAATTATCCTGATTTGACCATCACATATTGTACACAAGTATTGATGATCAACACTGTACCCCACAAATACAGATAATCAATTGTTTCAATAAAAAAAATTTTAAAAGAATGTTTTATCTTTAAAAAAAATGTAGCCAGTTAAGCATGAAGTACTAATAATTGAAATAATAGTCAAAAATGATTTAGAGTCACCAGATGGGTGCCTCTGCTTTTGTTTTAAAGATAACAGTTCTGACACACATGTACAAATTGATTTTTTGCATACTTTTGGTTAGGGCAACCCAAACACATTCACGTAGATCATCTCGCACTCAGTCATCTTTGACACCAGTCCTAAATTAGTTTTGCAGATGAAGCAAGACCACCACAGACCCCAGATCTGCTAAAACACGTAATCCCCAGATCTGATGAAGCATGATGCTGACTTCACCGTGAACTAATCAGATTCCCACACGACTCCTGGGCCCTTCATTCATGATTTTGCTCTATAAATGCTTGCAATTTTAAGCTACCTGGAAGTTTGAGGTCTTTATACTCCTTTATTAGCTCCTCAATCTCCTTTGGTCACTCAAATAAATGCTGTTCTTTATCACTGCAAACTTCAACATGAGAGACTGTTTAGTCATTTGGTGCAGAAGGCAGAACCCCTCTTGGTTTGGTAACACTCTATTGCAATAGTCCTGAATAAAATCTGTTTCTAGCGCTTTAACCACTATCCAGCTCTGGTTTTTCTTTGACGCCATAAGAAACAATGTTTTGTTTTATGCTTACATAAATCTATGTACACTCTTTTACTT